CACGGACATTAGGTAAATAAAGCAGACACTCAATAGGACTTATAGCCGGTGCAACAAGGTTGACGCGGTCAGACTTTATGTTGAATTTACTTTTACTGAAGGGTCAGAGGTGCGTGCGCGGTATGATTTGTTCAGTCTCTTTCAGCCTGAAAAGGAGTTCAACGTTTACAATTCATATAAATGTTCACAAATTATGCACAGTACATTTATAAAGTTCTTAAATCAATTTTGAACACGTGAATTAAAGTTATTATTTGATTTAACATTACTCTCTTTATCTGAACGTCACAGTATTTATGATAGCTATTTAATTACGTACAACTTACAAGGCTTACGTAACCTAGTCCCATGATCATTAATGTATAATGACAATACTTTAATTTTCTCTGCTTGATAAAGTGAAAATGAAATAAAGATTGATATTGAAGTTTTATATTTTATTTAAAAATCTGAGTTCACCCATGAAAAGATAAATAAAAATATGGTTTAAATTAAATCATGTCATATATAAAATCATCATAGGCGGCTTCAAAGGGGATGCAGTCCATTACCCCCCCCCCCCCCCCCGAGTGAAATTAGGGGAGAGGGTGTATTCCTCTGGAATAAACATAGATAGCTTATGTACACAAAATCACCAAGAATTGTACAGTCCGCGAACTCATACTTCTAGGGGTAAAAGTGTACTTCAATGATAAGCGGGGTGGTTTGGGGTTTTAATTGATTTCAAATTAGAGTGTAAAATAACTCCGGGAATGGAACTATTTGAACAACAATATTTCACTGAGCAATATATCATATTAACGAAAACTGAAGATGGACATGAGAAGGACTAAACTAACTTAAATTTCTCTCTACAGAACTCATGTACACCACAAGTACTCAATGACATAAGAACAGCCAATGTTCACAACAGACATAGTTAATCTATATAATAGGAATATCTTTAAAACATCTCTGTACATTTATATCTTTCAAGATGAAATATGTCGTCTTATGCACAATCTATCTTTATCTATGGTTCCCCTGTTTTCTTTCCTCTCTCTTCCAGACCCACATTCCTCATATGTTGTTCTTTAAAAAGTTGAAACTGAACTTTACATATAGCATGTGCAATTAATTACCAAATGCACACTGGCACAGAATTGTCACAAAAAGTGAACAAAATATGAAGGAGGGTTAATATTGTCATGAAATATATTGAAAAGGGTATTTATTGGACTAAGAAATATTTGTTTCGTAAAATTCTAAATTTGATACTGGTTTTTATTTAGTATTTTGGAGTCTCTGCTAGGCAATTGTACGAGATAAATCATTATTGGCGACTTTAAACTCAATTTTCTTTAGCTAGGATAAAAATATTTTGTATAAAGAAAATAAAAAAATAAATGTTTAAGATTTATTTTTCCTTGTTTGCTCCACCCCTGAATGGTGCACTGTGCAATGTCACGTAGATATGTTGCTTAATAGAATTTAACACGATCGTGCACAAATTAACTCTAAACTTAAAACTTGAAATTTTACAAAAATGTGGTGTGGGGTGGGGGGCTTTTATTGATAAATATCTTTATATATTTTGATAAGACACAATAAGTTCCGTTTTTGATTATAATATAAAATGATAAAAAACAGATTAATGATTTTTTTTAAACTCTCGACTCTGGTTCAAGCTGAAATAAGAAATCAGATTTTTATGTTTCATGCACTATCATCAATAGATAAGATTTTAGTCACTATATAATGTATCTTTTTTTAAAACGCTAAATGGGTAATCACAAAAAAATAGACCCTGGACCGTTGACGTCATATTAAAGGGAGTGTTCGCGTAAAATGAAAGGGGGTATTGGCTCACAGCGAAAAATTATGAACTGATACAGTGAAACCCTTAATAACGAATACATCGAAAGAACTCATCAAATGTCGTATTCTGATAATGGAATGTTGCAAATATCTAGTTTTTTAATTAAATGATTATATGGAACTCTTTAAAACTGTTCCCGCATATTCATGGCTATTTATTTATTTTCGCAAATACTGAAATTTACGTAATATAGTATAAAACCCATTGAAAAAGTGTCAAGACGACATTTGATAAATTCTTTCGTTGTATTCGTTATTAAGGGTTTCACTGTAGTTACTTTTGAAAACATTTATTCCTGTTTCGAGAATTATTGATAATGAAGACGACATTTAAATGTTTTCCAGGATTTTTCAAAAATCCAGCGCCAGCGAAATATTATTTAAAAAACAAAATAAAAAAAAATATGAAATGTTACCTGTATACAAATACGTCGAAAAATAATCGATGACTATTTTTGTATTATCTGAATGATTCGTTTGGAATTAAACTGATTATTTTACTAACCTAGTTGAATGTTGCAATTTTCCGAATTTTTATGGACGCTACGTTCTTCGGTGGGAGTCATTTTTAACAATTTTCTCCTTATAGACGCAACAGATAGAATTAAGAATAGTAGCGATCAAACGCGCTTATATTTCGCCGTAAGCCTATACCCCCTTTAATTTTTCGCGAACACTGCCTTTAAGCGACCATTTCAAAAAAGTTACGGTACCCAATTCACAACGACGTGTCCTCTACTAAGACATAGTTTTTTAACTTTAAGAAAACTTCAATCATTTCAAAACTGTATTAATTTTATGATAGTTTGAAAAGGAATTAACTTTTATCTCGAATTGTTCTCAGAGGTTTAATTAGCACTACAGTTTTAAATACTTGGCTTGTCTGGGTGTGTCTGTATGTTTGTAACCTATAAACGTGAAAACGGCTGAACCGATCGGGTTTACATTTCTTGTGATACTTACATGACCCCATGAAGGTTTATGGATGATTAGAATTTAAAAAATTGGCTTTAAAAAGTTTCGAATTTTCAAAATTCACGAAAAAAGGCTTACAAATCCACAAAAATTATTTTTTGTTATTTTTAATAATTAAGAAAAGAAAATGCCACAGATAAAGCATAAATAAAAATTTTAAATTGGAGGAAGCCTAGTTATATATATTTTAGTTTAAATCAATTGTTCAAAATACCACACCCAACTATACAATAACGGAGTAAACTATAGTAAACTACTTCTTCAAGATAACACACCCAACTATACCATACACGGAGTAAACTGTAGTAAACTACTTGTTCAAGATACCACACCCAACTATACTATACACGGAGTAAACTGTAGTAAACTACTTGTTCAAGATACCACACCCAACTATACTATACACGGAGTAAACTGTAGTAAACTACTTGTTCAAGATACCACACCCAACTATACAATACAAGGAGTAAACTACTTGTTCAAGATACCGCACCCAACTACACTATATAAACAGAGTAAACTGCAGTGGGCCTCCGTCAACATTTAACAAATTATATTAAACCAGCCCAATAAGTTCTTTTTCTCACTTGTAGTGTAGGGCTTGAAAATTATTATTTATATATTACAAAAAGTTCATACAAGAATTTTGTATGTAATATGTATATGATATATATGATAAATAGTTTGTATAGGAAAAATAGTTTGTGGGAAAAATAGTGTATAGGAAAATTAGTGTGTAGGAAAATTAGTGTGTAGGATAAATAGTTTGTGGGAAAAATAGTGTATAGGAAAATTAGTCTATAGGATAAATAATTTGTTATAGGACAAATAGCGTACAGGACAAATAGTGTACAGGACAAATATGGTAAAGAAAAAATATTGTTTGAACAAAAAATGTAGAGGACAAATGGTGTACAGGACAAACAGTGTGTGTAATACAAACAGTGTACAGAAGACAAAGTTTACAGGACAAATAGTTTACAGGACAAATAGTTTACAGGACAAAAGGGTAAAGATTTTCCTTATTGAATGTTGATAAAAGTTACATTTTTTCAGAGTAAAATTCAAGAATTTGTTGTCTAAACTTTCCAAATTATTAATCACATTGTTGTTTGTTTAATGAGATAAACTTTAATTGTAAAATGTAAATAGCACATATTTAAGAATTTTTATCTTTCGGAATAAATAGAAAAAAAGCTATTAAAAATATTTTCATATGATCTCTTTTTTTAAATCATTAATTACTGAATGAGATTCGATTTTTCAATTTTTTTCTAAAAGGAATATGACATTTTCGATAAAATATTATAAATAATAAATTAATAAAACCTAAATAGTTTTCTTAATTCATCACAAATCGTTAAATAACAAAAATAAAAAACGTTCCCCCCCAAAAAAATGTCTAAAAAATTATCTATCATAAATATTATGTAGATAATACATATCTCTTTAATTGGTATCTCTCAAATTGGAAACTCCAAAATTAGTGACTCATAAAGAAATTACATTACAAACGGTTGCAAAAAGGTTTGCATTTTTATAAAATTATTTTATCATTAAACATATCTTATTAATTATAAATGATTTTAAACACTAACATTTATTCTAAATAAAATATTACATCGTATTTACAGAACAATTTTAATCCGTTAACATATAGGAATATCACTTAGATACATCTATATATAAATTTGGCTTGTCTGGGTGTCTGTTTGTTTGTTTGTCTGTCTGTCTGTTTGTATCCAATAAACGTCAAAACGGCTGAACCGATCGGGCCCAAATTTTTTGTGGGACATCTAGGGACCCCAGGGAAGGTTTATGAAAAATCAAAATTTCATGTCTCCATCAAAATTTGATCGTCATTAAATTTTTAAAAATTTTGAAAATCCGCGAAATTTTTTGTGAAAATCCGCGAATTATTTTTGTTTTGTTTTACGATGTACAAAAAGAGAACATGTTCACAACTAATTTAGAAGATGGGCGCGAAGCGCTTTCTAAAGCTAGAAAGAAGGGCGCGAAGCGCCTTGAATTTCTAGTAAATATATAAACGGATAAATGCTTCAGATGTAAAGAAACTTGCTTCTAATTCCAATTTTCAAATTTCTTAATCTTTGAAACCCTTGATATTTCAAACTTTGACTATTAAATCAAGTAGAAAATAAACAGAATAGCGAAAAACAATTTCCTTTATTTACATTGCTAACTTGAATAGATTAGTGAATGGATAAAACAAACTAAAATTTTTAAAATATACAAATAGTTCAAGAAAATTATATAATTATATACGGTTTTCAACGTTTTTGGACGTTTTCTCTTAAGACGCTTAATACCCGTTCGCCCAAGGAGAGCAGTAGAAAAGGTTGGGACTGCATATAATTGTAGATTTAAGTACATTTAAGATATATACAATACATAGATAATATCTGTTCCTTTAATCTCAGGTTCAAACATTGATCTTCATTTCATGCACACGGATCAATTTATCCCGTGCTGGTCATACCCTACAGGGATAACTTTGATTGAAGGATCAAGCAGTTACTTTCAACTTTCAGAGAGCCCACATTGGATATCGAAATCAATCGGTCAAGATTAACGGTATTTTAGAATACGATTAGTGTTGAAACCTCACAACCTTGTATCAAAATCGTCGGATTCTTCTACAGAGAATCCAATATCAATCCTGTCCCAGACATCTGAATGCTTCTCATCAGTCTCATCATCATTATCCTGTTCATCTTCCTCAAGGAGTTCCTCCTGGACATTATCACCTGATCCTCCTTTTACTCTTTCTCCTCTTTCTACTCCTATTACTGGAGAATGCACGTCTATGCTCACAGTTACACCATTCATCTGGCAAATCAATTTATCAATCAATCAATTGATCAACCACTGTATTAGTTTACCAATCAATCAATTAATCCACTAAATAATTTATTAATCAACCACTAAATTAGTTTATCAATCAATCAATTAATCCACTAAATAATTTATTAATCAACATCAATTAATCCACTAAATAATTTATTAATCAACCACTATATTACTTTACCAATCAATCAATTAATCCACTAAATAATTTATTAATCAACCACTATATTACTTTACCAATCAATCAGTTAATCCATTAATTAATTTATTAATCAACCACTATATTACTTTACCAATTAATCAATTTATCCACTAATTAATTTATTAATCAACCGCTATATTAGTTTACCAATCAATCAATTATTCCACTAAATAATTTATTCATCAACCACTATATTAGTTTACCAATCAATCAATTAATCCATTAATTAATTTATTAATCAACCACTAAATTAGTTCACCGATCAATCAATTAATCCACTAAATAATTTATTAATCAACAACTAAATTAGTTTACCAATCAATCAATTAATCCACTAATTAATTTATTAATCAACCACTAAATTAAATTATCAATCAATCAATTAATCCATTAATTAATTTATTAATCAACCACTATATAAGTTTACCAATCAATCAATTAATCCACTAAATAATTTATTAATCAACCACTAAATTAGTTTACCAATCAATCAATTAATCCACTAATTATTTTATTAATCAACCACTATATTAGTTTACCAATCAATCAATTAATCCATTAATTAAATTATAAATCAACCACTATATTACTTTACCAATCAATCAATTAATCCACTAATTAATTTATTAACCAACCACTAAATTAGTTTATCAATCAATCAATTAATCCATTAATCAATTTATTAATCAACCACTATAATAGTTTACCAATCAATCAATTAATCCACTAATTAATTTATTAATAAACCACTATGTTAGTTTATCAATCAATCATTTAATCCATTAATTAATTTATTAATCAACCACTAAATTAATTATTTATTAATCATTTAATCAACCACTAAATCTCTATGCCAATTTGTTCCTTGGTCAATCTATCAAGATCATATATCAATCATCTATGAAATAGTTAATCTATCACTCGTCTAATCAACTTAATCACATAAAAAATCAAAATTAATCATTAACTTATTAAATTAATCACTTAATCAATAAATCATTCGTCAANATCAGTTAGTCAATTGATAAACACTTGATCAGTTAGTCAATTGGTTAAACACTTGATCAGTTAAAAACTCAATGAATCCACTGATCCAGCACTTAATTAATCATTCAATCAAACAATCAATAATTAGGATGTAAAAACAGTAGTTTTTGTTTCATAATTAAATAATTTGTATAATTGATCAATCTATTGGATTAATAGATAAATTCCTTGGTTCCAGGAATAGGAGAGGCCTTCTGCTCTGGTAACGATGGAAGTGGGATTGATGAAATATCAATTGATCTGAAATCAAAGAAATTTGGTAATATTAAATTGCTTTTCAAATATTTTCAAAGACTTTGCTTGATGTCGAGTGTCTTTTTATACCTTGCATTATCAAATCTCTCCTGTGTTTATATAATTTCATCATATTTTTTTTCTCAAATTTTAAAGCAAACTTTTCATCGCAAACCTTTTAAATAGACGCAAAAGAAATGTTGCAGAGATAGATCTGCACCAACCAAAATCAAAAACACCATGGTTTCAGTAGAAGTACATATTTCCATTTACTGATAGCACCGATTGAAGGATTCATAACTCTGATAGAAAGATAGATGTTACCTCCATACTATTTCTATTGGTTCAGAATGGACACCAAACACATAACTGAACCCTGATTGGATGCTAATGGACTAGGCATACAGGAGTGAAAATAATTACATTGATAACCAGAAAACATTGGAATAGGCAGACGACATAACTATAGCAGTACTTTAGTGTAATTGATTTTGTTAGAAAGCACATAGTTTACAAGACGCTAATTAAATCACTAATTTATTGAAATGGGTCTGTCTACTCTGAATCTGCTCGTTTTCTGGAAATTGGGCCATACACGGTACTCGGTAAGCCTTGATTAATAGAAAAAATTAATTTTGCTTGTTTTTACCTAAAGCTAGTTGAGTGAGTCAGCTTAGGATGACTGTATGCAATACTCCAATAGTCCTTGTCATAAACAGCCTCAGTATTCTGCTTTAATCTAAATAAAAGGTTTTTAATGTCTCAAAATAGGAGTTTTGCCACATACTCTGATTTTCTAATCCTTAAATATTTGCAATTCTGTCAGATCAAATAGTTTGAAATATCGAAGTTTTACAATATCAAAGGTTTACAATATCAAAGGTTTACAATATCAAAGGTTTACAATATTTACAATATCAAAGGTTTACAATATCAAAGGTTTACAATATCAAAGGTTTACAATATCGGGATTAGAAAATTTGAGTCGGTTGCAAAAACTAATTAAGTTGCTTTCCTGGAAAAATGGCAGCTTTGAACAAGAAATATATTTGAAAAAATAGAAATGATTTAAGAATTTTAAAAATTTCCTGATTTTTTATGTAAGTTATTTCTGTGATAAAATTAAAGCAGTATTTATTCTGATTTAATATTGCGTTTAAATAAACTCACCTGAATAAGTTCTCCTCAAAAGTATTGTATTCTTTTGAGCCTTCATAACCGAGCTTACTGCAAGAACAAGAACATTATTAAAGCATTTTGTTTACATATATGTTGATAAGGGAACGGAAAAACCTTTAATTCAACTATTATTTAAAGGGAGTGACCGGCAATTTCTGGTAATTGAACTGAGAATGTAGTATTGTGGAGAAATTTAGTAGAATTCATTTGAGACATAAACTTTTTAGGGATGTATAATTACTAAGTTTAAGTGCAAAGTCGACTTTCAAAATCATCTATTTGGGTGGTTACGTTTTGAGAATCGATTTTTTTAAATTATTAAATAACGCTTTGAACAATGTAATAAAAATTCTACAGTAAACTAATTATATGTTCAGGAACAGGTTGATAAAATAAAAATTAACCCGAAAATATCATCGAAAATAAGTAATCTTATTTAATCATTAGTTTCTGTAATCTCTCATTGTTCACAAACGTTTTCAGTAGATATTCTGGAATTTTTATTGAAATGACGACATTTAAAGAATTTGTAGAAATGTGTGAACAAATTCGTAAAGGATAAGAAATTCAATATAATGATGAAAACGAAATAATTGATTATAATATTGATTTTTTGACAAATTTATATTGAGAAATATGTTCCTAAACATCTAATTAGCTTACAGCAGAAATTTTGATACATTTTTCGTCGTCGATATTTGATATTTCTAAAAAATCGATTCTAAAAACGTAACCAATCAAATAGTTGATTTTGAACGTCGACTTTGCGCTAAAACTCAGTAATTATGCATCAATAAAACGTTTTTATTGTCTCAAATGAATCCTAAAAAATGTCTCCACAATACTACATTCTCAGTTCAACTACCTTACATTGCCGGCCACTCCCTTTAATGAACGGTAGCATTTTTAGATATAGTTTGTTACCTCAGTAGAATGAGTAGGTTGTCAGCATGTTGGGTATACATATATCCTTGACCATAAGCTCGGAATATATTAGACTTTTCAGCCATCTTTATAAAGTGTTCGATGAAGAACTCCAAAACATATCTTTTACGTAGTTCATCTAGACGGGCCGGCAATGTTGCATCAACATCTATTGGATTTTTAGCAGGTCGTCTTGACTCTTTCACCTCATTCATCACCTTTTCTTTTTCTTCCAACTTTCTCCGCTCCTCGCGCATCTTCATCTGATAGCGGTCGCCTTTTGGTTTAACCTCCTTCGGTATAGCGGCAAGAGATCCTGTTATACTTGGATCAGTAGCTCCAACATTTAGAGATTTAGCCAGAAGGTTGCCGTCAGTAAGAATTCGGAATAATTTCTTGGTGTCCATTTTTGGATAGAAGTTTTTCTCATAGTGAATGTTACTGATGGACTGAAGGAAGTGAACTACAGGGTTTTCTAGTATCCTATAAACCTTCTCCTGGGCCGCTCGGAGCCTATGGTTTGCAACAGTGGCGAACATGTTGCACTTGGAGAGAAAGTAATGCGGCATTTTTTGCTTGGTCAAGTGCTTCTTCAAGTATTCCATTAGAAGCTTAACTTTCTCACCGACATTTTCCTCGGTCCAGTCCCCCGGGCTTCGCTCAACCAGCCAGTAGAATATATACCGGAAATGTTGTTCGTTGATCCCTTCGAAAGGCTCGAGAAATGCTTTAAAGAGGATAAGAGAGAAGATATACACTCGAAGCTTTGGGTGATGAAGATTTCGAGAGATGTATAGATCTGCTTTGGTAAACTTCATTTCCCAACCTATATCTGAGTCTTGATTAACATGCTCCTTGCGAGGATATGTAAAGCCCTTGGGAGCAATGTTAAAGCCTAAGGTTTGAACTGCAGCTATTTGTTCCTGGCTAGGCCATTGATACTCAACTCCTGTTCTTTTGTCACGCATTATAGACCGTTTCCTATATATACAAAATAAATGTTATTAGATTAAGTTATAGAAATATATAGCATAAAGAATGAGAAATATGTTAAAAAAATGTATGACAAAAGTTTGTGTAAACTAGGCTTGTTGGTATGAAAGATGAGAATTTAGAGTATGGGATGAGCAACTTCTGCTATTTTTCAGAAAAATTGCTTCAATTTTGTTTCTTTTAGCTGTAAAGATATCGAGTTTTTGTCACAAAGTCAAATTTTACAATTTATTAATCTTTGCAACCTGAGCTGGGAACTTTAGAATGGGATATCCTTAATCCCGATTGGTTAATTAATCTGGAGATTAATAACCTTGGTTTTACTTCCTTGTGGGATGATTTTGTTTTCTATTAGGAAGTTCACATGCAGTACACGATATACTTAATTTAAGTTAGCTGCTGGACGGAAATACATAGTCCAAGGTTTGGTTAATGCAAGAAAAGTTAATTGCAGTTGCGTATACTCTGCGTACAAATTGAAACCAGTTCTCTCTGGGCGGAATTTTTAAACAAGAATAGATGCATTAGTGTTCGTTTAGTATCCGAGGAGGTTAAAAGCATTGAATTTTGATAATTTTGATAATTCACATAAAAGTTTCCTATGACCAGAATATTTCATTGACTTTTTATGTAAAAGATGGATCCGATGTCAGGCTTCGACATCCGTCTTGTGTTTACATTACCGCCCAGGGACAGTACACTGCCATGCAGGACATAAGATGCGTACACCTCTGAAATAACTTTCCTTTCATTATAACCTCGGTATAGTGTATTCTTTTTGATACATTTTATACTTTCAAGGACAGTTGAGAGAAAATGAAAATTTACGTGTCTAATATACTTGATGAATGTTTCTAAGAATAGAGAAAACAGATCCCCCCACCACTACATAGAACATGGACATGAAATAATCAAAAAATATCTCACGATTGAACATATGTTTATTTAAACAGATAGAATAAATAAACATAAAGCTCCTTAAAAATAACAGATTAAACTATTGATTTTCTTATTTAAATATTTGAATATTCTTTAATAAATACGGTTATCTAATAAAAAAGGTTTCTTTATATGCACACTGCACAGGTTGAGTAAAAAACTAGAATTAGCATTGTTCTAAAATAAATATAAAATGCAGATTGCAAGACTTATGTTTTAGCTGGAAAAATAGTTAAATAAAGTGAACCAAATGCAAAAAAATTTATTTGTACATAGCAAAAATAATACGCGTAAGTATTTTTGGTCAAATATTATTTTTTCTTTAGAAATCGATTTAAAATGATTTTGTCTTTTTTTAATCCAAGATTAAAAAAATGTTTCAATACACCCTGTATAATGAATGTCTATGATAATTGTTACACCCTGTACATTGAATGTCTCTGATAACTGTTACACCCTGTAATACCTGAGAATATACTCGAACCCCTCGTCCGGCCAGAATCCGCATTCCATAGAGGGAGAAAACTTCCAAATAAACATTTTTCTGTCCGACATTTCCTAAATATATTGGAGATTAAAGGGCGTAATTTCAAGTGACCAATGGCAAAACTTTATCCGATGAAGTACGAATTAGATTTCTTCTGCAGGAAAACATACAGAATTCAACTCTTCAAAACCTGGAAAAACGCAAGGTTATAATGCAAGGAAAGTTATTTCTGAGGTGTACGTACGCATCTTTTGTACTGCAATGTAAACACAAGACGGATGTCGAAGCCTGACATGGGATCCATCTTTCACATAAAAAATCAATTAAATATTCTGGTCATAGGAAACTATTATGTGAATTATCAAAATTATCCAAATGTAATGCTTTTAACCTCCTCGGATACTAAACGAACACTGATGCATCTATTCTTCTTTACAAATTCCGCCCAGAGAGAACTGGTTTCAATATGTATGCAGAGTATACGCAACTGCAATTAACTTCCCTTGCATTATAACCTTGGAGAAACGTAAATATCTTTACACATAGATCAGATAAAGGTTTCAATGGTACCTTTGTGAATCAGATATTGCCATCTTTGCGTGAAGATGAGTCACTTACAGTCCTTTTTAAAAACATAATGCAAACGTAGTGTCAGCAAGATGAGAACAGATCCTGTCAATTCTAGCTCTTTTATTCAGAAATTGTTGAGTACATTCTTCAATTGAGGATCTATAGTGTACGTTAGGCTTCATCTTTTAAAAGAACTAACATATTTAGGCATAACAATTTTTTTTATTTGTTTTTATATTTCTAATGATTTTTAGATATTTATATGATAATTATTAGAATTTAAAAGATTATTGGATTTATACAAAATATATTGTATATTGTATTTATATATTTTTTTATATCCTACCCTGCAAAATATATCTGGTGGAAAAACTCTAGAATTCTCCGGGTCCTTAAACAGTTCCTTCTCCAGTCTATCACAGATACTAGGGAACTGATCGGTGAAATACGACATCATACCCTAAACAATAATATTTTTACTTTACTTCAACTTTTTTTTAGTTTTAAAAAGTAAAATATATCAAAATTCTAAGTTCTAAAGTTTACTTTTCAAAATGTTGACTTTAAAGAAGGCTTTTGAGTAAAAAATTTAGAAAACGTAATTAAATCCAAATAGGACAATTTTCGAAGGGGGATCAAATTTCAGAAATAGCGATAAAAATTTGAACTTCGTAAACTGAGTTAACCTTCTCTTGAACTGGATCACATAAGAATTGGTTCAACTAAGCTTAGTCTCCGTAAAGTCGTCGTCGGATATATCAATACAATGAAGACGACTTTCGATCTGAATTTGTGATTGCTAGCAAGCTTTCAAACCGCATGGATAAGCATACAATATGGAAAACAAGAGATGCTGCCAATAAACCGCTTATTTTTGTTTGCTTGTAAACATGTAATATGAACAAAAGTGTTATAAATGGACACTTAAATAGAAAAGTTGTTTTCATTGTATTGATATAAACGCCGATCGATGTAGTTCTCTACAGTTACGGTACAAATAAAAGGCCGCAGTCAAAAGCGAGGTTTAAATTGGAGGGGGGGGGGCACTATAGTTTCAGTAGAAGTACTTTTTTCCATTTACTGATAGAGCCGATTGAAGGGTTCATTCTTATTGGATAATGAGATAGATAGAAAGATAGATGTTACCGCCATACTATTTCTATTGGTTCAAAATAGACAACAAACACATGACTGAACCCTGATTGGATCAGGCGCTAATGGACTCGGTATACAGGAGGGGGGGGGAGGACTAGATTAAATTCTGTAGACGCCCCTGCTCAGAAGAGACTTAAGAATTGTGTTTACTGTCTATAATGCACATCCGTAAAAACATGTAAGATAACATTTAAAACTCGACAAATATAACATTTAAAATATGTTTATTTAGTTTTTGCAGAACACATTTCAGCATTATTCAAAATTGCAATAATTCATGTTGAGCAAGAGGTTTCTACCTTTGAGCTGAGGTAATGTCGTCTTTCTGTTTCCGAGTTCAGGGGATAAGGGTCATTTTCTCCATTCTCAACTATAGGGACATCCTGCAATATAATATTTAAAGGGACTGTATGCCTTATTTCAACTGATATCCTGGAATATAATATTTAAAGGGACTGTATGCCTTATTTCAACTGATATCCTGGAATATAATATTTTAAAGGGACTGTATGCGTTATTTCAACTGATATCCTGGAATATAATATTTTAAAGGGACTGTTTGCGTTATTTAAACTGATATCCTGGAATATAACATTTTAAAGGGACTGTTTGCGTTATTTCAACTCATATCTTGCAATATAATATCTCAAAGAGACTGTATGCGTTATTTCAACTGATATCCTGCAATATAATATTTTAAAGGGACTGTATGAGTTATTTCAATTGATATCCTGCAATATAATATTTTAAAGGGACTGTATGCCTTATTTCAACTGATATCCTGGAATATAATATTTTAAAGGGACTGTATGCATTATTTCAACTGATATCCTGGAATATAATAATTTAAAGGGACTGTATGCCTTATTTCAACTGATATCCTGGAATATAATATTTTAAAGGGACTGCATGCGTTATTTCAACTGATATCCTGGAATATAATATTTTAAAGGGACTGTATGCATTATTTCAACTGATATCCTGGAATATAATAATTTAAAGGGACTCTATGCCTTATTTCAACTGATATCCTGGAATATAATATTTTAAAGGGACTGTATGCGTTATTTCAACTGATATCCTGGAATATAATATTTTAAAGGGACTGTTTGCGTTATTTCAACTCATATCTTGCAATATAATATCTCAAAGAGACTGTATGCGTTATTTCAACTGATATCCTGCAATATAATATTTTAAAGGGACTGTATGCGTTATTTCAACTGATATCCTGCAATATAATATTTTAAAGGGACTGTATGCTTTATTTCAACTGACCCTCTATTTAATGAGTAACAATACAATTTCACTAATTTAAGGGCGCTGCAGCATATATCTGCAACCCACTGTTTTTTAAGAACTCGCGATTAAAAATTATCTTTTTTATTGATACAAATAAAAATATTTTCATAAATGTAAGAAACCAGTTTAAAGTTTAGAACTATCGATCATTTATTTCATGTTTCATATTTCATTAAATAAACCGAGGTCAAAGATAACAAAAATACTTTAATCTCCTGTCTTGAATTCTTTCCTCTTTATTCATAAGTAATCACAAGTAATATTTATGCGATATTACAGTTGTCAATGTTTATATCAATACAATGAAGACGATGTTCCGATTCAAGCTTTTTTTGTAAGCTTCTTAGAAATAAAAAATAAAAATCGTCTTCATTGTATTAATATATACGACGATGACTGTGGAAAAAGTTAGAGCCATTTGTTTAATGTTTCAGAGTCGACAACTTTTGAATAAATGGAACGAGCTAATCTTGTTCTTAAGTAGTTTCTTAATACGGTATTTCTGAAGGAACTGAGTTTTTCTTAAGTAGTTTCTTAATACGGTATTTCTGAAGGAACTGAGTTTTTGCCACAATCTCAAACTTTCTAATCCGCTGCAACATTATGGTCTAAACCTTTGATATTTCAGATTTAGATTATTTGATCTATCAAAGGTCTACAACATTGGATTATGAAGATATCGGGATTAGAGAATTAGAGTTTGTGAGTCAATTCCTTTAACGAACTATTTATTGATCAAGTTCGAACACCATAGTTTCAGAAGAAGTAAATATTTCCATTTACTGATAGCGCCGATTTCAGGATTCATAACTCTAATTGGATAATGAGATAGATAGAAAGATGTTACCGCCATACAATTCCTATTGGTTCAGAATAGACAACAAACGCATGGCTGAACCCTGATTGGACCAGGCGCTAAAGGACTCGGCATACAGGAGTTCGAAACGGATTAGAATTTTCATGCAACTCTTGAATATAGAAAATATTACCTTATCTTCGAAACAATTTTCTGGTATGAGAGACCCTCTAGATGTTCTGGTATTCTCTGATACCTTTAATGGAACCCGCTTCAAGCTCACGTAGTCGTAATTCTCATCCCCCTCCTCCAGAACTGTAAACAAGTGCATATTTGATTAGGCCCGTGGCCGACTTTAAAGAATTTGAGCCGCGGCCCAAATATGTTTCAAGATTTAAGCCGGCGCTCAATTGAAACCGGTTTTTGGTTGATTTGAGACTCAGCTCAAATTCATTAAATTCGGACCGGTGTCACGTTAAAAGCGTCCGGCTTAATCTTATAAATTGAAATTCAAAACATTGAATTATAGATTCTTTCACATTTTATCAATAAAAAATGTATCAATGGTATCATTGTATTGATATAATTGCCCGACAACTGTACCTGTATCAGATTTATGGTTTAACTCTTCTGTATGGACTGTAGGTTGTTTGTTGCTAGTTTGTTTGTTAACTTGTAATTTATTCATCTTTTTCTTTTCCTGTAACCATTTTGTTTTGTTGGTTTTTAGTTTACATTTTATATAAAGGGATTGTAGTAAGCGTAATTTCAAGTGATCCTCCATGCAAATACCCGATTTAAAACTTTACTCTTAAAACCTTTATTTTATTATAAATGACTTGAAAAGTGTTTATTTCTGTGCGTTTCTCAAGTACTTCGTATAAACAAGAATGCGAAAGTCTCGTTTCGCAGAGAAACCGCAAATAAAAAACTGCTTAAAGGGACTAAAGGAAAAATGAAAGGAAGTATAGGCTGAAACCTAAGAATTTCAGGAGTTTATTGAGACCTATCAGAGTTCTAATTGATGTTCCTGTCTCGAGAAATTAAAATAAAACTGTGTCAAAGTTATAAATAGTACGCATTTAGTGTTATCACGCATAAACAAAGTGATAAATTAGCAACAATCCAGAGAATAAAATGCCATGCGTACGACAGAGATGGTGCTTTGTGCTCATTATCTCAAGACCTCTAAATTTATACCTGTCTGCATATCTATATATATATTATCGTTGCATTAAATAAACAAAAACATTGATATCTAATCCATACTAATCTATAACTGCACTAGACAGAAGGTAAAATTTGTGCAATATTAGTGGTAGGACATTGTAGGCTCGTATACAGGGTTACCCACAAAGGATGAGACTGTAAAGACGATCCAAAACTCTAAAAATACGACGATTTGAAGCTTAATTTTTGGATTCTGTATTCATTTGAGTATTTTAATGGTTTACTAAATGATTAAGCACAGATTTAAGCTTGTTTCGGCCTACAAGGAACCCTGAATGCAAGAAAACAGACTAAACGGCTTCAGTAAAATCGTCTCTGAAGTCTCCTCCTACGTGGGGAGCCCATAGTTGCGTTAGATGCAAGTACTATTCTGTTATTTTAGAAATTCAAGACATTCTTTAACTATATTATCTTTTGTTATTAAGTAAGATTTTATTCTAGCGTGTTTATTTTAGTTTGAAGTTAAAAGATAATAACCTGCATCCTTTTCTTAAACTCATCTTCTTTCTTGGTCATATTCATGTAAGACATAGGCAGCACCCCACTTGGACGTCTCTCCTGGTTTAAAAGCAGTTCTTATATTCTTCATTTTTTCAAAATATTTTTGTGCGAATTTTTATATTTACCTGAAGTCTATTTTGAATTTGAGCCATAGGAGGTTCGTGGTTCATCTTTCTAAACATTTTTGCAGTTTGTTATCAAAATATTAAATATATAAATTGAGTTTTAAATTTTTAACTTTAATGGTTATAAACATACAAATCTAAGCAAAAATAAAAAGTAAGAATTATGCTATTTTACTGGTTCGGTTCCTCTAGTTCTTGCTCAAGTATGACAGAAACAAATTAATTGCTTTTTAGAATAAAAAGTATATTTTTGATTAAAAACTTGTAATAAATATTGTGATAAGGTGCTTGGGAAATTTTAGGGAATTAGAAAAAACGGCAGAACCGATCGGGCCCAAAGGAATTGAGCCTTTGTCACAAACTATGATTTTCTAATCTCTATATATTTGTAATCCAATGCCGTAGACCTTAGATATTTCAAACTATGAATTCTGTTAGATGAAAAAATCTAAGTTTGAAATATCAAAGGTTTACACCATTTGGTGGAAAATCAGAGTTTGTTACAACCCGCATAGAACAAGCGACGCTGTTTTAGAGTCTGAAAACGACCCGCACGACCCCAAAAACGGGCGCCGGCCCGAC